AGTAGTCATTCTACAAAAACAATACTCACACACACATGTTTATAGCAGCACAATTTGCAATTGCAAAAGTGTGGAGTCAACCCAAATGCCTATCAGTCAATGAGTAGAAAAGAAACTGTGGTATATATATGCAATGGAACACTACTCAGACATAAAAAAAAAATGAATCAATGGCATTTGCAGAAACCTGGATGAGATTGAAGAGTATTATTCCAAGTGAAGTCACTCAGGAATGGAAAATCAAACATCATATGTTCTTACTCATAAGTGGGGGCTAAGCTGAGAATGCAAAGGCATAAGAATGACACAATGGACTTTGGGGGCTAAGTGGGAAAGTGTGGGAAGGGGGTGAGGAATAAAAGACTGCTCACTGGATGCAGTGTAGACTGCTCGGGTGATGGGTGCACAAAAATCTCACAAATAACCATTAAAGAACTTACTCGTGTAAGCAAACACCACCTGATCCCTAAGAACAACAGAAATACATTTTTAAAAAACTCTAAAATTAATATGGAATATCAAGTAAACCTGCATAGCCAAAACAATTTTGGAAAAGGACAAAATTGAAGAAATCACAGCTCCTGATTTCAAAACAATTACAAAGCTACAGTTATCAAAATAGAGTGGTTCCTACATGAAGACAGAAATATAGGACAATGGAATGACTTGAATAAAGTACAGAAATAAGCCTCTGTGTATACACTCAGATGATCATTGACAACGGTGTCGAGACCGTGCCATGGCGCAAGTACAGTGTCCTCAGCAAATGGTATTGGGAAAAATGAATACCCACATGCAACAGAATGAAATTGGATAGTTATCTTACACCATACACAAAAATTGACTCAAAATGGATTCAAGACCGAAACATAAAACCCATGCCATAAAATCCTCTAAAGAACAGGTAAAAAATCATCAGTGCATTTGGCAATGGTTTATTGGATATGGTGAGGGAATGTAGTCACTTCCTGGGTCCACAGGGAGAGTAGTATCAAAGGCAGGAACTTCCCAGCGACATGGCTTACCTGCCTTCTTCCACGTCTCCATCTGGGAGATTTAGAGGCTTTGTTAACTTTTGCACATGCACGAAGAAATCAAAGATCAATCACTCTAACGGGAGTTTGAAGGAACTCCTTTCATAGGACAGAAAATTTGAATGGGGCAGGAATTACTCCCAAGTTAAAAATCCCCTTCCCCCACGTTGGTGCAGACTCCATATCTGGATCCCCTTCCACGACGTGGTAGAAGCTGCTCTCTATATTTCTTTCTTTCTCCTTTTTCTCTCTCTGCCTAAATAAATCACTTTCTGCAGACTCTTTGGGGGCGGATAATTACTTATGAGCTCACTGTGCTGGGCGGGGTCCTCTACCTCATTCTTGGGTGAGTGAGGGACTAAGGGCCTGGAAGAACACCATCTTACTGGGGAGCAAGCTGAGTCTTCCCGGCATCTCGGTACCCAGTCTCAATGACACCAACAATATAGGCAACAAAAGCAAAGGTAAGCAAATGGGACTCCCTCTAACTGAAAATATTTGCGCCTCAAAGGACACAATCAATGGGATGAAAAGGCAACCTACACAATGAGAAAACATTTGCAATTTACATATCTGATATGAGGTTAACATCCAGAATATAAATATATCCATGTATGAATATACTACATTTTGTTTCCCCACCTCACCAATTCATGGACAGGTAGATGGTTCCACTTCTTGGCGCACGAGAATAATGCTGCTATGAATATCGTCATACAAGTTTTTATGTGACATATATTTTCAGTCCTCTTAGGTAATTACCCAAGAGTGGAATTGCTGTGTTACATGGTAACTCTACAAGGAATATTTGAGGAAGGATTTTTCAAAGTAGTGGCATGATTTTTCATTCTCATCACCAATGCACAAGGGCTCGCACTTCTCCACATCCTCATCAGTGTTTCTCATTGTCTGTCTTTTTGATAATAACCATCCCATCTGTTTGTGTCCTCTCTTATTTCCTTGAGCAGTGGTTTGTTGTTCATCTTGAAGAGGCCCTTTACATCCTTTGTTAGTTGTATTCTTAGGTATTTTATTCCCTTTGTAGCAATTGTGAATGGGAGTTTGTGTTTGATTTGTCTCTCTGTTTGTCTGTTATTAGAGTATAGGAATGCTTGTGATTTCTGCACATTGATTTTGTATCCTGAGATTTTGCTGAAGTTGCTTGGCAGTTCCGGGAGATTTTGGGCTGAGATGATGTAGTCTTCCAAATATACAATCATGTCATCAGCAAATAAAGATAATTTGACTTCCTCCTTTCCTAATTCAATACCCTTTATTTCTTTTTCTTGCNAAGGGCCTGGAAGAACACCATCTTACTGGGGAGCAAGCTGAGTCTTCCCGGCATCTCGGTACCCAGTCTCAATGACACCAACAATATAGGCAACAAAAGCAAAGGTAAGCAAATGGGACTCTCTCTAACTTAAAATATTTGCGCCTCAAAGGACACAATCAATGGGATGAAAAGGCAACCTACACAATGAGAAAACATTTGCAATTTACATATCTGATATGAGGTTAACATCCAGAATATAAATATATCCATGTATGAATATACCACAGTTTGTTTCCCCACCTCACCAATTCATGGACAGGTAGACGGTTCCATTTCTTGGCGCACGAGAATAATGCTGCTATGAATATCGTCATACAAGTTTTTATGTGACATGTATTTCCAGTCCTCTTAGGTAATTACCCAAGAGTGGAATTGCTGGGTTGCATGGTAACTCTACAAGGAATATTTGAGGAAGGATTTTTCAAAGTAGTGGCATGATTTTTCATTCTCATCACCAATGCACAAGGTCTCCCACTTCTCCACACCCTCATCAGTGTTTCTCATTGTCTGTCTTTTTGATAATAACCATCCCATCTGTTTGTGTCCTCTCTTATTTCCTTGAGCAGTGGTGTGTAGTTCATCTTGAAGAGGCCCTTTACATCCTTTGTTAGTTGTATTCTTAGGTATTTTATTCTCTTTGTAGCCATTGTGAATGGGAGTTTATGCTTGTTTTGTCTCTCCGTTTGTCTGTTATTAGAGTATAGGAATGCTTGTGATTTCTGCACATTGATTTTGTATCCTGAGATTTTGCTGAAGTTGCTTGTCAGTTCCGGGAGATTTTGGGCTGAGATGATGTGGTCTTCCAAATATACAATCATGTCATCAGCAAATAAAGGCAATTTGACTTCCTCCTTTCCTAATTCAATACCCTTTATTTCTTTTTCTTGCTTGATTGCTCTGGCTAGAACTTCCAATACTATGTTGAATAGGAGTGGTGAGAGAGGGCATCCTCGTCTAGTGCCAGATTTCAAAGGGAATGCTTCCACCTTTTACCATTTAGTATGATATTGGCTGTGGGTTTGTCATAAACATCTTTTATTATTTTGTGATACGTTCTGTTGATAACTAGTTTATTGAGGGTTTTTAGCATAAAGGGCTGTTGAATTTTGTCAAAGACCTTCGATGCATCAATT